ATCACGTAATCGCTCATAACTAGCAGAGACAAATAAAAAATGACAAGTGGCTACATAACAGCAAGTAATTTGCAGCTCGAAATCATAATTAGCATGCCTTCACGTTTGAAAGAAAAAAAAATGAAAACTGAAAGTTGTCGAAGCAAAGTAATCAGCAGAAAACTCGGGGCATTTGGAGAGAAAGCATTTCCGAGGCGCAGGGAACGAGGCGAGAAGCAGGCTTTTTAATTAAAGTGAATCCGAAAAGTCGCAATGCCATCTACTTAGCGCCGACAAACAGACCCATAACTCTGCTCGGTAGCCAATGAAAACGTCACTCTCTCTCTCGCTGGGGCGACGTCGACGTCGTCGTCGTCGCCAGAAGCCAAAACTCATGAATCAATCGTGCGCACGCGCAATAGTACTAAGAGCCGTGCGCGCGATAACCCAGTAACCCACATATGGCCCGTGCATATAACACGTCGGCAGGGGCACATTCCACTATATACCTGCGCACGACGCTGCACTGTAGTGTATCGCTCAGCACACTACTTGTTCCACGTAAACGTTTCCCTATTGTAAAACATTGCGAAGCGTTCTCTCCCTCTCTCTCTCTCTCTCTCTCTCTCTCTCTCTCTCTCTCTCTCTCTCTCTCTCTCTCTCTCTATGTTTGTATCTCATTATCTTAGGCGCCAAGCGTTTCAACCTTAAAACATTTTAGACGTGTTCTTTTCTTCGCTGCTTTTTTTTTGCTCGTTAGCGCACGCGATACTCGCCACTTTCATCCGTATCTGAGCGGGTTGAAATCATTAGCCGGCCGATTTCAATGTGGATGAGATAAAATAATTTTTTTGTCCGAGGAAGGGAGAAGGGTCACAACCGAGCTCGTCCTCGTAAACCTGCCCGCGAAAATTGTAATAAAGCTCAGCCAAGCTTTGTAATGAGATTACAGTACCGTCATAGTTTTTCAAGACCGTTAGCTTATAGACGGGATAAACTGGAATTAAAGCTTCCTTACAAGATAACGTTCTGTTCTACTTTAGAGTTACTTCAATTTCAATTCAATTGTTTGTCATTTACAGCTGCATCGGGCAATAGAATAAACACGATATTTTTCATTCCCGACGAAAATATGACAACTTCTCGAAGAAATATCTTAAGCGCAAAAGTACAAAAGTGCTTGAAAGGTACGCGAGGAAACGTCGAAACGAATTCCAAGCGCGCGGCGTACTATCTCATTGAAAACTTTTGCACATGCCTCGTAGTTTGCTTTCAAGATGCAGAGCGACATTGCTGTGCGCGAATTTTTTTTTCTATTTTTTCTGTTATGGATAACGGGCAAAAGCGAGTTCTGATGAACCATTTTTATTGCATCGAAATATTTTAGGCTATGCGTTTTCACTTGCAAGGCTAGTTTTTTGCCTTCAACGGTATAAACATTTCTTGAAATACGACAAACTATATTACCAGAATTTTTTTCAAAATTCTCTCGAAGAAAGTGTTGAAAGCTCGAGTAAACTTGGTCCCTGCAGACAGCTATTCACAAAAATCGAATGTCCATCCCCATACATAGCAAGTATACGGAGTACAGAAACAGGGTCGCGGTGAAATCGATCTGACAGCAATGCACAAGCCGAGGCGCTTTACTTATTAACGCCTTCTTGGCTCTCTCTCTCTCTCTCTCTCTCTCTCTCTCTCTCTCTCTCTCTCTGGTTATGCGCGTGTGCGCAGTGACAACGGCGCCCTCTTACGGGTGGAGATTCCTTCGATTTTCGAGTTTTCCTCTTTCCGCTTTTATTTTCTCTTACCAAGACTACGCGTGCCGCAAAGATTGCATCGGAGAAATGAGATCCGTTCAATGCTCAAGAAAAGTGAACGATCGCAAGCACGATAAAACTACTTGCAGAAGCGTGTTTACAAGCGTCCTTTCCAGTTACCAGCTCAGCGCTGAACGGACGACATACACACACAAACCGTTTCATTTTTGTCGAAGAAGGGTACTTCGGTCTATTTGCCACCAAGTCGCGCTTTATTCGCTCGTCTCTAGCGCAATCAAAGAAAAAGAGGAGCTCGTAAAACCTCGGTGATCGATCGCACGACACCGACCGAGTTTTTTTTCTTGTTGTTGCTCTCTTCTTACATTACGTTCTTCTTTCGCTTTGCGTTAGGTTTTTCTTAACGAATTGCCACCGAAATGAATTTCAAGTTTAGCAATGTTTACGGACGATCGTTAGTAAGGGCCTGACACCTCATCACCCCACAACCATAAAACGCGTTTATCATCGTGAAGTCTTTAAGGGCGTATAAGGTTAAATATTAACCCGGATAATTTAATGTGCAGAACGTATGGAGGGACGAAAATGAAAGTCAAAGTTTGTTAGTGATGGGCATCGATAAATAAAAAATTAGAATGGACCTACGAATTAACATTTTAAATGACGCTGTAAACTTTTGTTCTTAGGATACAAGAAACTTTGATACTAATATTCATTCGTAATGGAAGTGAGTGATACGACTTACTTTTGAATGTCCCATTACGAGGCCGAAGACAGTTTCGAATAATTCATGTTCAGATCCATTTCCTATATAATCAAACATTCCCTCGCTACACTCAATCAAACTCTACCGCAATTAGATCGTAAAGCTCGTAAATCTATCGGTGGAACTTGCAATTACAAACCAATTTCCTCGAAACTCTTAGAAAAACGAAAAGAACAAATACAGGAAAGTCATTTGTTCGAAAATTAGCCGCAATCGATGTCGTTTCAATGAGTTTAGTGGTATATGTTTTTGTTTCTCGCAGCTGCAGAGAGAAAGACACAGAGAGCAGCTCACAGCCCTGACCCTGAACCATCGATCGTTGAGTCTCAGGTGCTGTTACTGCTGCCGCTACTTTTCGGCACCCTTACGGGTTAAAAATACAATGACTCGTGTGTTCGTGTGTGCGTGTACGCCACGCCTTAACAGATTTAGCAGACGCTCTGCCTATAGATTGCTTGCCGTAACAAAGACTTATCGAATGAAAACTGTTTGATTTTCAAGAAAACTTTATCATCGTCAAAATTCATTTCGATCATTGTCAACTGTTCATTTTGTCACGAACTCAACGATGTAACATTGTACGTGCGTTCGTTCATTTCGTCGATAAAATCTGAAGTAAATCTTGTTTCTAAACATTCATCAGAAAGAGTACGAGTTTCTTTTTAATCTCACATTCGCACTTGCAGACTAAATCATGCGGTTGTAAGCGCTTACACTCTTGGGAAAAAGATCTAAATTCGTCTAGTAATTTATTATTTTTAAAATAGCTCTCTCTGGCCAACATTTAAAATAATAATATCAGCGCGTCAAGCGCGACGACACAGTCGATCCAAGTCAATTAACATAGTGCGCGCGAATCTTGCGCCGCAACCCCAACTGAAACGGCGAACGAAAAGGTTTATCGAAGCTGAAAAACCGCGACGATCGAAGGAAAGCGATCGTTTCGTTGTCCATTGACATCGGTGAAAAAAAAAAAGAAAAGAACGAATCTCGGCGTGCAATCTTGAAGTGACCTATAAACACTAGTGAGTGAGATTCGCTTGAACGCGACGATAAACTCGACGACCTCGCGGTAGCGCGGCGGTAGCGGCTTCACCACAGACGCGCACGCACACATCTGCCGGCTATTTTGGCGCGGCGCTTATTTTTAGTATCATTCTCATGAGGAGCCGAGCGCCAAGAATACCGGTATGTCGCCGAGAACGCGCGCGCTTTAAGAGAATGATTTTGCAATGCGCTCTCGCTACGCGCCGTGCGTGCATTCGCAGGGCCGAGGTCGGGGACGAAGAAACCGCGTGCGTCGAAACTCCACTTTTTTTTTTGTCGCGACGTAAACAGATTGTTATTATTCGATTGTTCATTGACGAATGAAAATAGATTTCAGGCAAATCTGGAGAAACGGTTTGCTGGGTTATGAGAAGGCTCATCAATTGACGGTTTATTTTTAGTATGGCTTCCGAATACCAACTCTCACCTCGGTACCTTAGCTATTATTACATTCTATGACGTTTCAAACCAGACGTTTCTTTCATATTTTCTTCTACCTCTCTCTCTCTCTAGTGCAGTAACCAACTCATATAAATATTTCTGTGAATGAGCGGAAGTTGACGTTTATCGGATTTCGACATAATATTATTTCTCAAATTTCACCACGAAAAGTAAAATAAAGCCAGCGTCTCGTCAAGGATGTCCATTCTTATCGCACAGCCTTGGTCAAAATAAGGGATGCCCCCTTACAGGCCTCGCATGGAATAAAAGATAATAGGCGCACGGTCGGGACTGTAAACGCAATTTTATATATCGCAAGAGGATACGACGTCAGGGATATCTTAGATTTTTTTTTGCGAGCGCGGTATACAAGGGCTTGCTATTTATCGCCAAGGATGATATTGCGCGACTTTCAGAGATAAGCTTTTGTTTTTAGGTAAGGGATCATCCTTGGCACTTTACTCAATTCCCTTCACGATTAAACACAGTTTACAGGGTTGCTAGACTCAACAAGATACTTATTGTCCCCCTCCTCCGCCACCCTCACTGTAATTACTCTGCTGATGCTTTCGTTATCTATTTTAGTCAGTGATTGTTCACGATACCGACAGACATTTCTTGAACGCACTCGAAATATTGGCGAATAATGCCACTTTCGATTATTTCGTAGTTTAACGTTATCCAAGCGACTGTCAGGCGTATATCGTTGAATTTAGACTGCAAGATAAATTTATCACGCGCTTTTATAGCGTTTACTGATTTATTATCTTCCTCGCGCGTTTTTCCTTGTTTTCTGTCTTTTTCGGATTATTCGTTCTTTTGATGTACGCTCGCGCGCGACAGTATCTGAATAATTGTCCTGTCAGACGCGGCTCAAGTGAAAACGTGGAATTTATCGATCGAAATTGCATTATTATAATCGAAATTTAATTATTATAGTTATTAGCAACGAAGCGAAGTACAGCACTAAAAGGCTTTTCTTTCTGTTACAGGTGGTGCTAGTTTTCATCCTTAGCATAGCATCGCTTATAATATACTTCATCGATGCCTCCACGTAAGTCATAACTTTAAAAGATCGGTTTCCCATTGCTTTTCAAAATGAGAGATTAAAAAATCTTCACACTTTTGCAAAACACTGCCACATGTATATATATATATATATATATATATATATATATATATGTACAATATAAATATACACACCATATATATATACCACGCACACACAAGAACACTTGAATTGCAAATCTTTATATTCGTTGCGACATCATTCTTGTAGAGAGAGAGAGAGAGAGAGAGAGAGAGAGAGAGAGAGGGAGAGAGAGAGAGATTATGCAGTAGTAGTGATGTATATGCAGGGCTTGTACCATGTGCCATTAATCGAGTACATTTTACGCGACACCTCTTCTAACCCACCTCCTTCCTTCTCCGAGCAATTCAATTGTTAGCACGTGCAAATCGACACATATACATGCGCGCTCGCCTGCCTGAATTACGCGCACGCGAGTCGGATTATGCGTTCCTTGAGGCAACTACCGCTATGCTTTTCTCTCTCGCTCTCCTTATCTCTCGCTCACTTGTTTCTTCCTTGACTAATGTGCTTCTCTTGAAATTTGTTCTGTCGTCAAGAAAGTCAATTCTCACCAATTCACATAATTTTGCATTTTCAATTGTACTTTTTCTCATCGATCGCAGTCAATTATCAACGCAACACTTACCGCACAAACACACCAAACGTACTGATCACTCGAAGAGAATATTGAAATTAGAATAACAGCACGTGGAGACATGTTTTTCTGTGTGTCCCGCCGGGATCCCGCGCTAGCGATTTTTTAAAGCACGTGAATTGCAAGTTACGTGCACGTACTCGAAAGAAAAAAAGTAAACAGAGAAAAATAATTCGATTTGTTGACAACCTCGGCGTTGTTAACGAGCAATTTGAAGAGATCTGAAAGTAACAGCATGTTCTAGCTGACACGTTTTCTTCACTTTCACGCGCGTCGTTCGATCATTAAAATCGAAGTGGCATTGTGTGCATCTGTCCCGTCGTATTTCCAGTCGAGTACACGCGCTCGACTCTTTCTTTATCTTTATTACTGCACGACCGAGTCGATCTACCTACGTTTCTTCTCGACTATTTATATCGGAAATAAAAAAAAATACACGGTGTACGCGTGCTTCCACGAAAAAGCTGTTGGTTTTGCTTCAAAGCACGAGATGCAATTTATTTTGTATGCGTGCATACGACATTGTTTGTTTTTTCCTTGCTTTACCTCATCGTCAAGATTTATTATGTGCTTTGTCGTGAGATTTTTTTGTTCTGTTACTTTGTGAAGTTGAAAAAGAGTATTTGTTTTTATTTATGCTATTCTCTTGTCGGTGACCGATAAAATATAATTTATGTTTATTTTTATTTCTTATTTTATTTTAGTCCAGTCAACGACAATTTACCTTATTCTGGGTAAGTACTTCACACAAAAAGTTTTTGATTGCGGACTATGTCGATGTTACTAGCTAACCCAATTGTAATACAGTTAAAGGGTGTAGCGTGTATTGTCGTGTATTTTTAAGCATTAGCGCAAAAGCAATTTCCAAGTAGTACTCTTTTATATCGAGAGATTATTTATTCTTTTTGCATTTTTTTTTAAACAGTGGCATATACATTTACGTCATTAGTTTGTACGGCAAAATACTATAATCAAAGTAATAAATTGCTTGGTACACGAACGAGAGTTCCGAAATTTTAGCAATCTGTTAGAGCATATTAACGTTAAGTACCGAGTCAGCTTTCCCGAAAACGGTTAGATATTCGTGATAATTCGATAATAATTTTTACCAAGGTGCAAATTATTAACAGTGTCACACTTGATACAATATTACACAGACACTAACAATATCAGCGAACATTCGTATGAAATAACAGACTGTACGCGTTGGAAATGCATTTGTTACAGTAAATACGAATGAAGCAAGAAGTTAACAATATCGCATACACGAAAAAAGAAAGACGAAGCGATATTGAAGCAGAATTTTGTAAAGTTGTTTTAAATTATGGAAAAAATGAACGATAGGATTATTCATAATTTCTCGTGAAAGATAAGTTGATTATAAAAAAATTACGAATAACGTAATCGTTACTGTGTTCATGTTATTTAAAACAACGTTATCGAATCCGTTCTCCGTCAAACCTATATCATCTAGCATAACAATCCCCTCGGCAAAAGACAACAGAAGACTGCCATCATGGGTCGGCTAATCGACGAAAAAAAATGTCGCGTGTGTTTTATGTTGCAGCGATGTGGTGGAGCGTTGCCAGAAGTGGAGCGAAAACATTACTCAGCAGATAGACTTAGCTTTCAATATATTTTTTATGGTCTACTTTTTTATACGCGTGAGTATACATGTATATCAAAACCACGCTTTATTGCCCGTCGGAGCGTGCAATTTTTGTTGTTGCGTTTCCACGAAGAAAATGCTGCGCAATCTGGCGCCGAGCGAGCTGGTTTGTTTTATTTTACAGTCCGCTAACCTAGAAGCTAAAAAATGTTTGGTTTCAATTTACACTCGCGTTGTTATATATGAAACTCGAAGATAATTCGTTCCGGTGGCTGAACCTAGACTTTATTAAATATTTCAAATGCTAATATTGGAAATATGCTCTCGCCTTTTATTATTCAAGCTTTCAATGAGCTTCATTTCTATTCTGATATCGAATTTTTTTGAATTTATCTTTTAAAGCATTCGCGAAAGCGAATTTCTCGCGACTTATTAGCTTGATAAAGTTAAGCAAATCCTTTGTAGTCAAACTCAGAAGTAAAAACTAAAGTAAAAATAATCTCGCTTACGTTGATAATGAGCGAACTTTGTTAATTAATTCGGAAGAAAAGTAGCAATGCTCCAGGAGAATAAAGTACTAGTTATTGTGGACTTGTGACCGCATAATAAGAAATACTTCTTCATTAGAAAGGAAGGCACTTATATAATTTGGACTTTTGAAACTCGAGTTACGCGTAGCATTGTCTCCAAATAAAGAAAAAAAATACATAGAAAATCTGTGCGTTGGAAGTTAGATAGCGAGGATTTAGTAGGGACATGGCGTTAATGCGAGTGTTGGTGTGTGTTGGCGTAAAGTTTATCGCCGCCAGTGACAAGCTGTGGTTCATGCTGGAGATGTATTCGTTCGTGGACTACTTTACGATACCACCGTCTTTCGTCTCGATCTACCTGGATCGGACGTGGATCGGACTGAGGTTCCTCCGAGCCCTTAGACTGATGACGGTCCCTGATATCCTCCAATACCTAAACATTCTTAAGACATCGAGCTCCATTCGCCTCGCCCAACTCGTCTCCATCTTCATCTCCGTCTGGTTGACCGCTGCTGGTATCATTCATTTGGTACGTACACGCATCTTATTCTCGTCTACCCTCGTTCTGTAACCTTCTTAACAAGAGCTTACTTCCAGATAACAGATAAAAGCAACGAGCGTGCCCTCGGTGGAGAGCTAATATTTATCAGAGCCAGCTTTCAAACTAATTTTTTTTCATTTGCTGCCGGGGAGGCTGGAAAAAAAGTTGAAATTCGCGCACGCCGGTCGGTCGATCAATCGCCGACAGCGGAAAAAGTGCTTGCTGTTGCCAAGCGGAAATATCTCGAATTTCGCGTGAACAAATGTGTGGCCATGTTCGGTGTCAAATATTGGCTCTCGCTCTCTTTCTCGACTTTTCCAATCGTTAAAAAACTTCGCTCTGGCAATTTCTGGCCGAGCTGAAAAATTTATCGGCGAAATTGGCTGGCTCGCCTCACCCAGGGCACGTTCATTGGAAACAAAACAATGTCCTTGCATTGCTAAAACGTCGCGTGGGACTTGCAAAGCTCCACTGTATAATACATTTCTAGACAGTAGTCTCTTTGTTTTTAACTAGAGGGTAGTTGTTCGCACTCTCATAGTTCCGTCGCGATCGGTACTACTAGCTGTCGTGGTAGACGATTGTCATTCGTTCTTGCAAACAGCTTCTAGAGCTTCCTGCTAGTCTAGATTACGACAATTTCCCAACGCACACCTTAGCAATGCGAGCGAAAGAAATGCGCATGTGCGTACGCACAGAAGCAAACAGGCCGGCAGAAAAAGCGAGCCGCATTAGGAGGACACTCGCAAAGAACAATGTTGGTTAACTGATGTTTTCGTGGCGTTTTCTTTTTGTTTGTTTTTGTTTGTAAACCGTCCGTCGATCGCGCGCACGTATCTCACACGTGCAGCTCGAAAACTCAGGGGACCCATTCGACTTTGCCAACCCGCAACAGCTGTCGTACTGGACCTGCGTGTACTTCCTCATCGTGACGATGTCAACGGTGGGCTACGGCGACGTCTACTGCCAGACAGTACTCGGCCGCACATTCCTAGTATTTTTTCTACTCGTCGGCTTGGTAAGCCCACCTCATTCTAATGCATTTCTCTACTTTTCACTTCACTTTTATTTGACATAACTTCTATTCTAACTACTCTCGTCGAAATCGCCTAGTCCACTCTAGCCGCAAGACAAAGAAACAAAGCCAACGACGACCAAACGAACAAATGCGTGCACGCATCTCCAGTTTAGACACTTGAGATGTGTTCTCGAGACAATGCGTTTACGCTCACGTTTTACGGTTAATTGCTCGGCTTCTTTCAATTACAATTTGCAAATTGCTTTTCCAACTGACTGTCCAAGTTGCATTTATCTTCGAGTCTTGCCGAGCAATTATTCATTGAACATGTACGAATAGTCTGTAAAACTGTTAATGCTTATCGATCGATCTACGCTCAATGCGTCCTTTCAAAGAATATCTCATTTCGAAGATAATGATAAACACCAGAGTTGGAAAAATTCACAAATAACAAAGACTTGCTTTACATGTTCGACCGTAACTCAAAACAGTCGGTAATTGCTAAAAATCACGTGCTTCTTCCAATTCAATAAATCAATGCCTAACGAAAGTTGCAATTACACGACATGCGGCTGTGTGCGCGCGTGCTCGACTGCACTTGCCCCATTGTAGAAGGAAAAAAGCTTCTCGAGCCCGGGTGCACGCAGGCCAATACGAGTAGCTCTCGTTCGAACGCCTGTACGAAAATTTGGACCGTCTCATGTCCCACTTTTTTTGTTCCTTTTCTTTATAGTTTGTGGTCGGGGGACGTGTATAACGAAACTTCTTTATTGGCAAGATTCCCGATATTAGATGTTTAAGAGATGGCCGTTCGAGCGACAGCTTAAGCGCAACGTTTCTACCCCAAAATTTATAGATGCCTCGTAAAAAATATTTCTGCGAAACGTTGCGCTCCTGTGTAGCCAATAAACGACGTCGAGTGCCCGTAAAAGCTTCCTTCTTATCCGTGCATAAAATTTGTACTGTTTACATTCGTTTCTCTTGAATTTGCAATGTTGAGAAGACGAATCTTCTACGGATGTTTGACGATTAATAGGTCAAAGCTTGAAGATAGTTAAAGTAACGTAAGCAAATAAGAAAAAAAAAGAAACCTATCGATATAAAGCTTCACTCTATACTCTGATACATGTAGTGATAGCCGAAACGTTCTTTCTAGTTGACGAGAAATAAAATTAAGAAGTTGGCGTCAACGAAAAAAAATCACCTCGAATCCCGTGCTGCTACCCTGTCCCGCATATCTAAATGACAATCGCGCGCGCGTCAGTTCTCGCGATAAATGCTTCAATTTGTTTCCTCCTTTGCGACACATTATCGCGTACAATGTCGCGTGCTTTAGGTGCGTCACATGTACGAAAAATTCTTTATTCCCTTATTTTTTTTTATTTTTAATTTGTCAAATGTGAAAATAAAATGGTATTTTTCGAATAATTTTATTTATTATTATTTTTGTTATTGATTTCAAGATGATATTGTAGTGTTCTGATACAGCCGACTTTTTGCACATAATTTTTTTTCATATTTTTTTGTCCCTCGTACTCATTTAGAAGAGACAATAACTATTCATCACTGGCTACCTGTGCCTTAATTAAACATCAATAACCTTTATGCGGTCGCGGTAGGTGATTTTTTTATGAGGCTGTTCCGTATTCGGCATTCTCAAAAAAGTTGAAACTATCGCGGAATTTGCGTGTAGATTTTAATAAAAAATACTCGTAAACGTTGACGTGTCTGCATTCGAAAAAAGCGGCACGAAATTTTAAGAAAAAAATCAGCACACTTGAAAAGCGCCGAGCCGAAGTAAATAAGAGGACATCTTTCTCGGCGGGAATAGGCAAAAAAATTGTAGAAAAAGAAAAGAACGAGAAATCCCGGTCTCTGAAAGACGCATCGATAACGCAAAACGACATGGCACAGCGCCACTCGATGCTCTCGTTTCTGGCTGCGATCCAGCTCACACGCGAGAAGTTTGTGCTACGTGAAGCATTTCGTATGTAACCCTTCTTCTTCCTCTTCTTTTTTTTTTCTTTTTTTTTTGTTTTGTTGAGTCAGAATCACGTGATCGTCGCGCGAGATATACACTGCCACTTTCCGTGCCTGCAGATTGTTGCTCTCGATATGCTATTACATGCTTTGCGATTTTCGGTTGCACCAATGATGCCTTTTGCCTTTTTTGCATTGAAGCTGTACGCCTGCACACACGTGCCGATAAATTTTGAAATTCAATACGGGAAAAGCTTGATACGTAACTGCGCGTGATTAGCATCGTTCGAGTCGTTTATGGGGCTACTTGTTTTTCATATTGGCTGGCTCTCGGCGCGATGAAATGCATCCGAATACGGGACAGCCTTGTCATCTCTTCTATATGTATATAATACTGAATCTACATGTTACATTCCTCTCTATACACACACGCCTCACTCTCTCTTCCTTCTCTCTCTCTCTCTCTCTCTCTCTCTCTTTCTCTCTCTCTCTCTTTCCTAGCTCTTTCTCTGTTTTCTTTTTCTGTATCTTTCAATAAATATATTTATACCTAGAACAATACCTTCACAGCTCGCAGGTATATGAATGCCTTCTTATTTTTTCTATCAATACTTCACAATATATACATGAGACATTTTACTATATACCTTCCTATCTCCTAAAGCCACGAATGATTTATTTTCTCACTTTTTCTTTAATAATGATTACAACATCATTTGGCATCCATTAATACATGGAAAGACACATTTTGACGTGTATTTTAACTTTTTTTATTCCAATTGCAAATATTAATAATAATTTTTTTTTTGAGTGCGTTGTTCTTTTTCTACTTCTTTACTTTTGATAACAGGCTTATGTGTAAGCGCTATATACGGTGTGTATCTGTATGAAGTTTTTGTATACTTGTGCTCCTCCCTTTTTCAATACTTCTTTCTTTTCATCAATCTCTTCAAGAACGCTTGAAGCATCTCTTTGCTATGGACAACTCCGGCGCATAATGCTTACTATCATCTTTTACTTAACGTGTATATATACCAGCCATGAACAATTTCTTTTTAGTATAGCGTATTTTAAGAGAGTTATTTATCGAATATATCATTTTTAACAGTCGATGTGATATTCTGAATGTTAATTTCTCATTATAATTTTATGATGTCACTATTTAATTAAAATTCATTTTCTATTTTTAAGACTGTTTTCGTCAAATACTTTGGACCCGAGTCATGGAAATTTCCTAGTCATATAATTGCAATGTATAACTAAGCAGTTTGCTAATAAAATTTCGTCGGCAATTATTTGCCGAGGAAATTATCACGCGCCTCATTAGCTAAAAATATCGTGAACTATTCTTAGGGATCGTTTGAGAATTCGATCGTCATGCCCGCGGAACTGCGAATGCAAAATATAGAATATCAGTCTTATATGCAAAGTCAACTCGCAGTCATTTCGTTGGCTTGGCAAACGTTGAGTCAGGCAATAATGAGGTTGGAAGAGATTACCATATAGTTTGTGGCTGGTATATAAGAAAATCCTTCTCGTTTCTCTGAAAACTTACATGATCAAAGAACAATTTAGATATTAATTGTAAAGTCATCAAGAAATTTAATAACACGTAACCAAGTGACTTTTTGATTGCATTCTAGCCTCGTCAGCTCAGATACGAAGTTTTCTAAACGGATTATATCTTGAGCGAATGAGAAATTGCTACACTCAAAACCTTCCTAACTTTAGCAATAAAATTTGGTGCGTTTGGCGCGCTGAGTTGTCGAGGCCAATTGCATTTTCACTGCCATAACAACACCATTTTACACGTTTATATACGATAATTACTAATGTACGAATAAATAGTTTAAACCGGTAGTAGTCGTTGCTACATTCAGAAATAAAAGTGTAGCATGCATTTGAATGAACAGTATAATTAAAATAACTTTCTTAATGAGAAGCTGTACAATTTGTGAGCGAGCTTGATCTTGATTTTATTCCACTATTTATGTGTCTGTGTTTTCTGCGAACTGTGTCGCTGCAGTATTCTTGCCTGAATTACATTAAAGTCTTGTCTTAGTTTTATAAAATAATTAAGAAGACAATAACTGCTCCCAGACTCAAAACTTGAATGCTTCTAACTTGGTTTGGCTTGAAAAGAATTATTTTACACTACGACTGCGTCTCGTCGATCTCGAGTCCATGAACTGTTGGACAATTCTAAAGAAAAGACTGATCTATTGATTATATAAATCATCTGTTAAGTACTACACACGTTTTTTACTCTAAAAAGGGCACAATAGAACACCCACTTTACATAAATTAAACGTACGATTGATGATTGACTGCTGAGTAAAACGAGCTTTATTACGATCCAGTTGCACTCCACTCATACTACTACTGCTACTGTTATTACGATAGCACCATTAAAAGTAACATTCATCGGTGTAAATCTACTCGATATCTCACGGGTGACATCTGTGCTAATTGCGAAAATCGTATTTAACGAAGTAACTCAATCTTACACTCTACAGTTATAGGTACGGTTTAACACATTTGCATATTTACACGAACATACTAAAGAAAAAACTGCAGGTGAAAAAAATGTGCGTTTTCTTAACACTGGTTGACGAAGAATGTAGTTCACGGGAAATGGAGGAGTTTTGAATTAGGAACTAACGAAGCGACGACGTCGACGAGTAATCTCTGATTCGATGAGTCAAAGTTAATTACTCCCAAGACGCGGCCTGAGTTTCATTTGCGAAATTAACTTTTTCCGTCCTTAACGACGACTGGGATTTCTTTTCCTTTCATCACGTACACGTAATATAAACAATTTATACACCATCTTAGGAAAATTATGAATAATACTTCTACATTTTATGTGTGTTATATCACTTTGATAATCGTACTATGGTATGCAGTAACAATGATAATTTATTAATCACGTTACAGAAATTAAAACTCATTTTGACTTAGCATGATTTTTAATTTTTATCGTATACGTTGCATGATTCTTATGTTTATTAATTTTATATTCAAATACAGTGTTTCTTATGATAAAATAAAAGTTTTCTCAAACTATTAAAAAAAAAAAGATTTAATCATACTTTACTATGACGTTTGACTTTTTATATATCATCTAAGATGTTATAAATTGACAAAAATGCAATGCACGCAGAATAAAGAAAAATTAGTGATTTTTTTTACCGCTTTGATATTTTTGCCAACGCTTCGCAGCCTATTGTTAGTCAATATCTCACTGTCATATGTTGAAAAAATAATATTTGGTGCTTTTTTCCCGCTATATTTTTCGCTGAATAAACCTTTCTCAATGTCTATGTGGATAAGATATCTTTTCTTATTTCTTCTTTTTCATGGTACCTCAGTAATAATATTTATCGCGAAAAAATTCATAATGCCTGTGTCATGTTATAACGATTCGATATTAATCGTATCAGAGCAGCGGCCATAAATATCTATCGAGATGTATGCCTACACGCATCTGCTCACCGTTTCGTGACGAGAGTGGATGCGTTTGGTACTAATAAATCGCCACCGACGTTGTGTGCGCTTATTTGTGATTGAATTTCGCCAGCCGCTCGATGCGCACATTGTGCGATTCTTGGCGCTCTCTATTAACGCAATTTTCACACACATACTCTTGTGTCTCTTTTTATCTCTTTTTCTCTTTCTCTCATCTTTTTTTTGTATCAGAGAGCGTTATGGTAAATCGGCATTCATTGCTTCATAATCGACGTTGATTCCGTTTATTGTTTTATCTTTCTCATTCAGATCAATTTTTTACTTCTAATTTTCTTAATATTTCCAATTCTTTTAATAAAAAGAAATTATAAAAATAATATTTGAATATTACTCTATGTGTCATTTAAATAATTTTTCGTCTTTAATTTAGTTTTATTAATTTATCAAAAAGCCATCTATCTCTCAGTGTATAAAGATAAAAGAAATTTTCGCATGAAAAAAATTTATGTTTTTATCTCTCTCGAGGCATCTCTAACGAAAACCGAGTCGAGTAAGGAAAAACGTACGTATTATATATTATGCATATCTGGCGTTGTTATTATTCAGCAGAGTATAGTGATCGTAGGGAGAGCAACAAAACGATGGTTTCTGCCATAATCGGCTTCCTCCTTCTTTCTCTCCCCCTTTTCTTTTCAGTTTATCGTTTTGTATTTGCAGGCCATGTTTGCTAGTAGCATACCCGAGATAATAGAGCTTGTAGGCAATAGGTCCAAGTACAGCGGCGAATACAAGCGGGAACATGGAAAGAGGTATTATTGTCATACTCAATACTCAAACTTATATGTGAACAATTACCGGCCTTGAGTAATCAAATTTTTCATTTTGTCTTGACGAATTTTATTATTACTAATACAATAAAAATCGATGCTTTCATCTTCATATCATAAAAGTTTGCTTGCTCAAGATTATCCAACGAAACTGTTAATTTCCAGTTGTTGCAATTATATTTTACTTATTCTTTGAAAACAAAACCGTTAAACATTTACACCTACACATATATACGACAAAGACAATTCGCCCAGTTGGTAAGAAAAATTACTAGACACACAGGTCTGCTAGCATATCTGCAATGACCGACTTTACGCTTTTATAAATGAGCGCTACATTAGCTGCGGCATTCGCATTAAAAATCTATACGCTGTGCCGCGTGTAAGACCTTTTTTTTATCCCCTTTCACTGCATTGAGTTCGGTAAACTTTTTTTTTCCATCGCTGCTTGAATGAAATGAACGCAGCTCGATAGTTTTTATTTTATTGTTTTTATTCAAGGATTCATTATTATTATTATTCTGCTTTGGGATTGCACGTGAACTATGTGAATGAAATTTCACATTTCAATTATTCTATTCAGTTAGAGAAATATAGCATCCTGATATTTTGTTTATATCACGAAGCTGTGTGTATACGCACGAGGTGCACTGAAAGCAACATTGGTATCCTCCTAACATTAGAGTTTACGCTGGTTACACGACGGGTCATGTAGGACTGTAGCGTAAGTTTTTACAGAAGAGAAATAGAATCAGCTCGGGACCGCTTTACAAATAGATTTCACTGACAATTAGCTCTTGATTGTTCTTCAATTTTAACATGTAGCAAAAAACTCTCGATGTACCATATAGCCGAACATTGCCCGTAAAAATCTATGATTGCATTTCGTACAAATTGAAACTACTCGAATAAAAATATAATTACAGTGCTGGAGAAGGGATTAAACGATAAGCTGTTCGTAGTTTCGCTACTAGGATAGATAAAGGCTCTCGTCTTTAGTATTGCTGGAAGCGAGTGCATGCGCTTCTCGGTCGGTGTCGCTGCTATTGATTTGGACGTGTGCGCGTTCGCAGCTGCTCCGTCGAAAGTGCGCAACGCTATCATGCAAATTGCCCAACCGAATTATCGACGTATTCGTGAGCGACTAGCCAATACTGCCGATTGTCAATTGTTCCGGACTATTTTCCGAAGGGAAAGCAATTTCAAAAAGCTTCTCAGCAGTTTTCTCCAGGACAGTTGCCTTTTCGTATTTTCCTACGGTGCGTCAATAAGGAACGAGCCGACGAGATTGTGGAAGGGCCGCTCGAGCTATTCTAGTTTGAGTGCTCAATAAAGATGGAGTGTCTTGCAACGACGAAGAAACGAAAATTACATTTCTAGATGACAATGATCCCTTTTGTTGTGATTACATGTCTGATTGGATTTTGACTTATACTACTGAAAATGGATGTCCGTCGATGACTATAAATTTTAATATTAGTTCTGAGATAATCATTGAAATTGAAAAGCGTGAAGATGTAAAGCATTTAATCGGCGTAACGATGTTAGAATTTAATCAGCATATAAAAGAACTGAAGCTCGCAGCAAATGTCGCGTAAAATGCACAATGAAAGTAAAGTCTCTTATTTTGTCTATAAGAGCGTGGGGCGCGCAAAGTTGCATCATTATCTCGACGCGCGATTTCGAAGTTCTTGGATTACGCTTCTCTTGGGTAAACTTGAAGGACCTTTCAGGACGCTGCATTAATGGACTCGAACAGTGTGGAATTTTCTTTTGGCCGAGTCGTGGTCGTAAATATCACGGCGATCTTTTACGGCATTGAGTTCACTTATTCACGTGCAATACTCAACCCTAGATTTCAATTATACAGTACTAGCTTCAATTCCTCCTAGTTTTTGCATGAATAAATTTTATTATAAGAAAAGGTTATTTAGTATATGTTTCTTTATAAGCTTTTTCCGGTATTATTTATTATTCTAAATATAAAAGTTGACATTAATTGAACAAAGAACAAAAAAAAATATTTTCAACTTATTTATATTATAATCATTATATTTACGTGTATACATCTAAATGTTTAATTATATTACTTAGTTATAAATATTCCGATAAAATTTACAAATATTTATCAAATTATTTATATCTACATATTTTTCTAAGAGAAACCAGCAATCATTGCAAGCACACAACGTAGTCAACTTGAACACAGCATCCACACATACACGTTCGGCTGAAGAGATAAAAAAGTCTAAGCGCTCGTAAAAGCATCGAAGAAAAAGCTAGAAATGTCGTGTAGCGTCTCTGTCCGGTGTTTTGCGAGCGTTGAGCCGGCGCGCTTGCTTACATACATCCAAACATCCATACCAACACAAATGCACGCAAACGCTAACGTAGTCCTTCCCGCCCCTACCCTTGCTCCCCGAGTATGTAACCAATTTAGTCTGCTGCTCAAACATCGTAGGCGTATTCATTAGCAATACAGCACATCAACAACAAGCAAACAACAACAACTTTCACACTGCACGATTGCAGATATTCCGCGGTACAAAAGATTTCTTATTCTTTTAAGTATTACAACTTATTCTTTTAAGTAGCGGAAACTTGAACAGTTGACTTTCTCTTGATTGTTCAACAAAGACAACCAAGTTTGTTTTAATTGGGCTAGGTAATTGAATGCTCTGTCAGATGAAAAGTGGATGAAAGAAAGGCAAAAAAAAACGCGCATTTTTCCAACTGCCACCTGCAGTTAACACGAGAGATCAACAACAGCAGCATACGTACAATACATTGCGGAGCGTAGGTATGTGACAGTGGAGTTTAACAATGAATCGGCGGTCAAATTATCGATCATACCAGCTCATTTTAAGCGAAATCATTCAGCTGCGATTCGCACGCGTAGATATGTAGGTACAAATAGACACACCCGCACACACACATACGCCGCGGGCAAATGCAAGCCACGTATACATATCGAGACACGATCTATGCTAGAACTATCAGGGTCAGCCGATCTCTTAGCAACGGCTATTGCACGGCATTATGCCTCGGACTTGTCCAGGTAACCAGTGTGCCTTTGGTTTCTTAACGGTATTTATGTATTGTACATAATAATATACCTTTTTCTTTTGCTGCCTGTGGAGTGTGTGTGCGTTCCTTTTTTTGCAGACACTATATCACTAAACGACGACCATGTTGATAACCTTGTTTTTGTTTTGTTTTTTGACTTCATCCCTCACTGCGTCCTGACGATGACGTTTAGGAAAGAGGAAACGCACGACGTTCCTTTCTTTTCAACCCCGACGAACGATTTATGCAGACGATTTTTCCAGATTTAAGCATAAATCAGCACTCGATATAACTGAAGCAAATACTGGATACATCACGAATTAAAGTTTTTCTGTTTTCTTCACAAAGCCGTCGCTCGCCAGCGCACAATCTTTACGGAGTCGTGCAGTAGTTCCAATCGCGTCCTGGACGCCAAAGTGCTTCGGAATTTTGGGTTAGCTTTGTTCGGGGGCAAAGTTGACAGAGCTATGGAGCAGTGAGAAGTTTTCCATCCACTGTGACTGGTGCATTCTTACATCTTCTGTCTTTCTTTAAGAAAAACAGTCAATTTTTTATTGGGAACATATCTGCCAGTGTGTACGAGTGCAGCAAGAACGCAGTGTTTCGTAAACATTCCACTATGGCCGTCTTTTTCGTTTTTTCCCTGGAATAAAATGAACCTGCTACTTTCGTAAATTGGCGCCCAACATTGAACATTGACACGGCTTGGTCTGGATGTGCGCTTGCGATTGGCGGCATCTACACCCGTGGGCATCCTCCTTATAATTTTCTCAGTTTAAACTTTATAATTTTGTTCTTTGACTACAACGGTCACAAAGGCAAATGGAAACATAAAAAAACAAGCAAATTTTTCTGTAAAAAGATATTTGATTTTTCAAACATATCTCTATCCACGTACGAATTTTGGACAATTACACTGTCATTATAAATCAGAACATCTCTATTAGATTAAAAAGTAGATTAGATTGTTTCAATAATAATATATTTCTTCAATGTGTAGCTATTTCTTTTTTTTCTTTTATATAAAAATTTCAACTGCATTACTCCAGAAACTAATAAAATATAGAAAAAACGTTTTTTTATTTGTACTTTTCTATATCACGGTATCGTATCAAAATGTTCTGTGGTAACGCGATGAGAAAAAGAAAGCGATTTTCGAGTAAATTACACGAAAGGACAGGATAAATAGAAGTAGCCACGTAACCATTATTCTCGCGTATTAGCTTATTTCTCTCTGTAAGCCTGTAATAAATTGACAAATAGTACGCGTCGGACCGAAAAAGCCCCCTGGCGCGTTGCACGAATCCACTATTATGCATATTACGTATATATTCAGAGAAAATAAACACTTCGCGAGCGAGCGCGCAAGCAAGTGCAGCAGCAGCAACACACGAATTTTTCATAATGCATATAGATTTGGAAGAGAGAACCAAAAAGAAATAAAAGTTCTTATTTGGGACGATGTGTGCTTATGTTAAGTGACACGGAATCACTCCTCATTTATCTTTTACTTTTCTCCTGAACGGATTAGCAAGAGCAAGCAAAATTTAATTGGTTTTTTTTTCTTTTTTGTATCTTTGGTTTGTTTTTTTCGTTTAACTACATACGTATCTTGAACTGCAACCTACTTTAAAAGGAAACCCGCATATATACGTGTGCCACTGTGCATTAGCATACATCGTGCACACCACTATACGTAGAACAAAAATATGAACAAAACATGAAAGAGTAGAACGAAAGCGTGTTCACGAAAGTAAGCGGCACATACACACAGGACAGACCTATATTAAGTAGTTAGAACAGAATAAAAATGATTATAAGTACACGTAAGAAAGAAAACATTTATGAAATAAGCAGAAAGCCGTTAGGGGTGTGAATCTTCGTTTGATAATGCAAAAAAAAAAAAATCAAAAACC